CCCCCCCCTGCTGGTGCTTAACCCTTTCTTAGCCACAATTGCACTGGATAGCACCTAGCATCTCCAACAGTTGCTTATCCAAAAAATAAAATAAAATGGAATTGCTTAGCTTATTGTGATGTTTTGCTGGCCTTTTTTTTTTTTTTTTTTGGGACGTTTGTTTTTGTGCTACTTCTACAGGTGGCAATCCTAGCTCTCACACCACTTGCTGGCGCCCCTATCCTTCGTCTCCCGGTAGTGCCCAAGGAGTTCTCTGCAGGTGTGTGTTCCACTCCATATCCCTTTTTCCCCAGGGGAGGGGGAGAGGGGGAGTTGTGGGGTCGATAGGGGTAGGCTCATTACCGGGACGGCTGGGTGAGGGGGAACGGTGAAGGGTACTTTGATGGTGCTTCCAGAACACGCACATTCTGCAAGGCCCAGACAGCCTGGATTCTTTGTTTCCTGCCGAAGGTCAGGTCACGAAGATCAACGGCTAGATACGCACGGAGAGACCCCGGTAAATCGGGACTGTTTCCATCTAGGAAAAAACTTTAAGTTGAAAAAAAAACCTCAAAATTTGCGTTTATATTACTTATTAATTATAATATAATAATAATTCTGAGCCTTGTTGCATTTATAAATCATAATATAATAAGCATTTATAAATTATAATTTGAATTTTGAAATGTTTTTCCCTTGACCTGACAGACAAATTCACGATCCTACACTTGTAAAGGTATTCAAACAGTTAAAAAAAAAAAGAAAAAAAAGAAAAAAGAAAAAAAAAAAAAAGAAAAAAGAAAAGAAGGTATTCAAACACTTGTAGTATTCAAACACTTGTAGTATTCAAACACTTGTAGTATTCAAACACTTGTAGCATTCAAACATGTAGTATTCGAGCACTGGACAAAGTACACGAGCGTAGTGAGAATCGAATCGCCCGGAATAGAGCGTTTGAGACAACTTAACAACAGTATCATAGCGTGAGCTTGTAGTCAAAAGCTGGCAGCTCTAAACCGTTTGACATTTGTTGGCGCCCTTGAAGTGGCAGTCTTCTGCAGTTCTAAACCGTGAACTCTAAACCCTAAACCCTAAAGCCTTAAGCCCATAAACCAGGGGTACACCGGGGCCTGGAGGCGCCTTACTGCGCGCCAAGCTTTTCCGAACTGCCAGCAGCGCACTTCTATTCTTATTTGGTGGGCCCCGCCAGCCATTGTGGTCAGGTAAGCCAAGCCATTGCGACTGTGCGGAGGGGATGCATTGCTTTTTTTTTCTGCAAGGCTGGGCGCGTGTATCGACAGTTTAGCCCTATAGACCTAGACCCTGAATCCCATAAACCCTAAACGTTGTAAACCCTAAACTCTGAAATCCCAAATCCTAAACCCTAAAAACATTGAACCCTATTATTAGACCCTAACCCCTCGAAATCCTTACGTCCCAAGCCCAAGATATTAAACCCTGGACTCCAAGCCTTAAATAGAGTTTGACATGGGGTTCTCCTTTCGCATGCATGCATGCATGCAATGTTGTTGGCACATTCTTTGACATGGGG